TACGTCGATGAATGATTGTGTATTGAGGTCAGGATTATTAAAGACAACCATCACATGATTCATGTGGTGAAAGTGATACGATCTCCGTTTACTATCAGAAGTATGATTTCAAGCTTCGTAATATAGATTTAAATTAATCAGAATTTTTAAGATAGTGTTGAATGCCTTGAATCGGACCCGCTACAAACAGAAAGGACGGGGATCTCGCTGCCCGGTCAGCGAGTCGGGGGGTCCAGGGGGGCGACGCGCCCCCTGGCCTGGGGGTCCGGGGGGCGGAGACGCCCCCGGCCCGACGGTATACAATGTTGTTGTATTGGGCCCTTAATTTTCTGTTGATTCTGTATGTTGGGCCCAAGCCTTTTAGGGCGTAGCTTAGCACTATATATAGACGCTATGTCAAATCCTATTCTGTAATTCTGTTTTTGCCTCTCCATAATAAAACTGCTCCCTCTCTTCCCGTGGACGTAGCCAATTTATTGGTGAACCACGTAAATCTGTTGTTTTGTTTTTCGCGTTTTATATTTTCTCGTATTATCTCAAATTCCGCACAACAGATAGATATTAAATTTCGAATGTAGATTTTTGAAAGATTTGTTGGGGGTGGGGGACCTATACCTAAGGATCTCATATACGTACTATTATATGTTGTTTTATGAATATTAGCAGCTGGATGCATGTTGTATTAATTTTTTAAAATAATAAATAATATTGTGGGTAACTTGAAGGTGACAAAGCTCAAGTCCTTGTCATCAAATGGGCAATAATTTTTCATGTTTTTAATAATAAAAATAATAATGATAGTAACAACATATTTTGGACTTATTGTTTTCTTTTTTTAACAAAATAAATTAAATAAAACCCCACCACCAAGACAATAAATTTTGTCCTTATTGTATTACTTGACAGCATCTTATTTTACTTTATATATTATTTTGACTCTTTGAATTCAATTCATATAATATTAAAGCTCATGTAGTATCTCTCTTTTCTTGTTTTTCTTTTTTAATAATAAAAAAAATAGACGATTCAAAAAGCTATATATGGGTGAATAAATACATTTTATGATTAAAAAAAATTATATTTAGAGTTCTGGTTATATTATTTTTTTTTAATAACTATATTTTCTTCTTTTTTGTTCAATGCAATCTGTGGTCTTTCGTAAACACATTTCTATCTTCTCTCCTCATATTCCACTTAGTGAATATATTGTTGTTAAAGTTAGGAGTTCGTGAATAGTTTATAAATAAAATAAACTTAATATTTGACATTCGTATTCTAATTCAATTCAGTCTCGCGTTAAAGATAAAGACGTTTTTTACGAAATGATTTTATGCTCAGAATTCGAATTTATAATTTTCCATAAGAACAACTACTTCAAACTTTTTTAGTAGGTGCATGTATCTCATCTACCAATGATTCTATTCCTTGACTTTTACTCCATTTTTATACCCAATGGAATATGGGACTTGATGATGAATTGATTAGTGGGATTAATATAAAGGCAAAAATTAATTGACCATAACAAATAAAACAACTTTATAACTTACTTTTTGTGTTTAAATTTGATGAAATTTCATAACATACAACTTTAGTGAAGTAATGTGCATGAAATGAGTCAACAAATAAAATCATATTTTATTTTAAAGTCTAACTAAATTAAATTCTTAATAGAAAATTTCACTTTAAAAAATATAAATCATTTCAATAAAAAATAATTATATGATGCTCAAGCGCGAAATCAAGGTTTTTGATAATCATTAAGGTTAAGAACACTTACATAATTCACTCTTTTAATTCTTCTATCAAACATTAGTTCTATTTATCTAACTTATTTAATTTTGTTACAACAATAATCAAGTATATATGTATTAATTTAAACATTTTATTGTCTTTTTAACTTGGTCTTTTCTGATGTATATGATCTTCATTTTTGAATGTGTTCAAATAGATATTTAAATTTGTATAGAGTTTGACATATAAACACATGTGTTATACGTGACAATATACTTGAAATACATTCTAATTGATTTGTATATGCCCTGTAACACACATGTCCACTTGTTTAATTTTATACAAGTGTAAATGCTTACAGCGCACAACCAAAGTTGGAGGGCGTATATAACAATTGAGATCAAGTTAAAAACAATGTTTATGTATTATTTTAGATTTATAATAACGTTCACCTTAGTTTGAATCCTCAAACTTCACTTGTGAAATTACACTGAATATGATATTATTTTTACATTTTATTTTTAAGAGGGTGGAAGGTGGGCGGGGTAGGGAGAGGATTTGGAAAATTGAGTTATTCAAACATGATGATTACAATTTACCGTTGTAAAATGCACAAATAAAATCAGAATTTGAAATTAATGAATTCTTACAACGATCGCAAATTAATATTTATTTGAAAAAATATATTACCATATTCTCTAAAATTTTCTATGATTTGAAAAAATTATAAAAAAAATTTCTACTCTCTCAGATACATAACTTTACCCAATGTATCGATAGGATATATTCCTTCACCGATGTGTAATGGCCGGATACATCACTTTATGTGATGTATTAGAGCGTACACGATGTAACGGAGCGTTGAGTGATGTATCCAAAATCGTGATGCAATGTATCGAGACATTGAGGGATATATTCGAAATCGGAACGCCATGTGCTAGGATGTTTTGAAATGTATCCGGATTCTATCCAAATTTAAGAAAATTTTATAATTTGAAAAGAATAAAATTATGATCTAATAATTATTAAGGAAAATTTCATATGTGACAAATTGAATGTGTGAAATAACACTATATGAGTATAGTTTACATAATTACATTTTATGGGTATAGTTTAATTTGTTACGTAGCTTTTAATTTGTATAAAACATTTATTTTAATTTGTACAATATTTTACTTTCCTGTTAAATAGTAACAATAGCCCTAAATATAGTAACATATAGTACTTGTATATAAACAAATCCCTCAAACAGTTTTACCAAAATTGTGATTTAAGTAATATTTGCATATTGTTTAAGCTATATTATGTATATACATACATATATGATTGTATAAAGTAATGGAAGTAACAATATAAATATTTTTCATGTAAAATAATTGTATATCTATAACTCTGTCATTATGCAAGAGTTTTGATTTGTATATGTATATAGATCATTTTTGAATGTGTATAAATAGGGTTAAATTGATTTTATAATTTTACTGTTTACTTTGATTATGTATAAAAATAATAATATGGTTTACTTTGTATAATGCTTAACATTAGGCATTCATTTAACCATTTTAAGAAGGTTGTATCTATAACTTTGTCAGTATACAAGTGTTTTGATATGTATATGTAAACTAATCATTTATGAATAAGTATAAATAGGGCTAAATTGTTTTGTATAATGCTATGGTTTAATTTGATTATATATACAAATAATGATATGGTTTACTTTGTATAATGCTTAACATTAGGCCTTTATTCAACCATTTTCAGAAGGTTATATACAATGATGATTCATTCGCTTCGGACATTGAAACAAAAGGATATTTCAGTTTGAAATTACTGGACACTTTGACGAACTACTTGAAAAGTATAAAACATTGATATTAATGTATATATAATACAAATACATTAAGAAAATGAAAATTGTTAATTACTAGAATCAGATTCAAACGATGTCATGTATAACAAAGTATTGAATGGACATGGACGTCTATTCTTATGGGATCAGTAATTGTAGCTGGTCATCGACAATTGTTGATTGATGCATTATAATGCTTCTCATATGATTCAGACTTGGCTCAATATGATCTGATAACAATAATTGTTTTCGGAGTTGAATCAATGATAAGAACAATCTGTATAGGACATAATAGGTCCTCTTTAACATATGCAATGAAACTTCATGTTTTGAGAGAAAAAATACCCAAAAAAATAAACATAAGCCAGCAATATTAAGTGAAAATACAATTAGGAGAAAGAGAACAAAATTCAAAATAAGAGTGAGTGAGTGAATTTAGGAGAAAGTTAGGGAAACATATAGAAGAGAGATAAACTTTGATTTGTATAAATGTTTATACAATGGAAGAGAAGGTGATTTGATTCGATATACAAATAGTAGGTGGGTCCCTTATTTGATGGCAAAATTTCTAAAACTGTATTAATTCAAAGTAATTAAATTAAACTATATCCATGCTGAATAATAACATAGTAATATTTGTCATTCCACGTAATTTTCCCTAATTATTTCTATTTGGGCTTCCAAATTGTTGTCAATTTTCTATGGACCATCTATCAACTTCCAAATGATTTTTTGTTACATTGGCCCAAAGGTTGTAGCATGTAGGAAAAAGTTTAGAGCTAAAAGCTTTTCTATTCAAAATTGGCTTAGAAGCCTTTAGGGGTGTTGAAAGGGTGAATTGAATTAAATCTGAACGATGTTAGTGAAGCAAATTATCGAGTTAAGATTGTATTCATCAAAAATTTACTTACGTCAAAATGGATTGAGTCAAGATGAATTAAGACAACAAATAACTCAACTCAACGACCACCTCTATAGGCAATAATACATCCAAAACAACAAACTAAACCTACAAAAAAGAATGAAAATTTATTTTCTCAGAAAATAAACAGTTGAAATAGAGAAAAAAAAACCCAAACTAACTTGTTATATACTTGTTAAAAGTGTGGATCAATCTGGGTTGAGCACAAAATTAGTTTTTGAACAAATTCTTTGAAGTTAATTCGTTTTTGTGATGCATTTTTTCAAATTTTGATAGATTTTTTATCGTTTAGGGTTTAATATTTCTTATACTTCTGACTGAATTCAACTATAAGAGACATTATGAGCTTAATAAACATATAACAAAGACTAAAAACATTTGTATTTAACAAATTTAAAAGGACTAAAACTGCTTAAAAATAATACTTTAGGGACTACTTTTGAACTTACTACCAAAAGTAAGGGATCATTTCTGTCATTTTCTCAATATCTTTGTTAGGTGTTTGACATGTCCACCAAAAATCAAGAAAATAAGAGAAATGAAGGAAGAGATAAGAGTAAACAAAAAGTGAATGAATTGGAAATTTTAAACAACTCCAAGATTTAGCAATCAGGTTTGTAAAGTTTTGATTTTTTTTCAGTTTATTCACTTGTTCATATACATGCAAAATTCACAGAGTTCATGATTTTCCCTTTTTGTCTGCTATGCTTAATTGCTTGTGAGAAGTCAGCTCTGATAGAGTTTCTATATAATCAAAATGATTGTAGAAAGTGTTAATCTCATATGGGGTTTTGCTAATTCATTTAGAATGGTGAAGTTGAAGTGAAAAATTTGATTTTGAGCAAATTTACATAAATCTTGACTTGTTTTCATTTTTGAAAAGCAAAGTTAAGATTTTGAGCTATGCCCCCCTCCCCCACCTAGTGACGGAACCAGTATTTTCACTAAGGTTCAAAATACGAAGAATGAACATATGAATATATATATATATATATATATATATATATATATATATATAAATATATAAAATGTAATTTTTCAGGGAAGGGAGTTTGGATGAACCCCTCGCTCCTACCTAGCTCCGCTCCGCCCCTACCCCTACCCCTCATTATTGCTAATTCACAGAATTCTTGGTTTTCCTTTTGTCTACTTTGTTCAGTTTCTTGTAAAAACATCAATTTTAATGAAATTCATATGCCTAATACAGTCCCTTTATTATGATATACTTGTTGTATTATGTTGAGCTAAAGATTGTAATTTCTGGCTTCTAACAAAATTTTGGATGTTAGGCAATATGGTTTTCATTTAGAAGAGTTGAACTAAATATTTTGAGCTTAGAGCTATATCCCTTCATGATTGCATATTCACATTAGTTTCAGTTTATTCCTTCTGTTGGCTTTTTTTGATTGTTTTGAAAAAACATCAGCTTTATGAAACTTATATGCCTAAGACTATCTCTATGTACTAGTATCTCTGCCAAATTATGTTAAGCTAAAGATGGTATTTTCCCATGTCTTAGAGAAGTTTGCTTATAAACAATATTTCCTTCTCATTTAGAATAGCAGAGTTCAGCTTAAACTTTTCGAGTTTGAACTATAAAGCCCTTTCAACAACAGCTACAATATACCAAGTGTAATCCCATATGTGGGGTCTACAAAGAGTAGAGTGTATACAAACCTTACTCCGACCTCGTGGAGGTATATAGTGTTTCCGGAAGACCCTCGGCTCAAGTAACGGATATCAAAGCTAGGAGAAAAGAAACATACAAAATCAAAGAGGACATACTAAATTATAAGGAAAACATTGCATAGCATAGCAACAACCAAATAACTCGATAACTGAAGCACAAGAAACAACATGTAGTAACATGAATCGATGGACCGGGAACTAGGAGAATAATGCTACTACTATTGGTAAGGAATGAGAAACATGTATATTTCCCCTTCGTGATTGCAAATTCACATAAACCTTGGCTTACCATTTATCTGCTTTGTTCAATAGCTTGCAACATAAGCTTGGATGGAACTTATACACCCAATAAAATTTCTGTATATTAATATCTCTACTATTTTGTTGAGCTGAGGGTGGCAGTTTCTTCCTTCTAAACTCTAAAGAGAATTTGCATGTTATACGTGTAGGGTTTCATTCAGAATAGCAAACTTGAGCTAATTTTCTTAAATTAACTCCTCCTAAGAATTGCCAAATAGTTGTGTAGGATAGCAGTAGGTTGATGGCTAGTCAAAAACATTCATAACAATTATGAATCTCTAGTCTATTCTATTAAGAAGAATGAGTACGGACGATCCATAGAGCTGATCCGACTAGTTTGGGATTGAGGTGTTGTTGATTAATTTGTTGAAGCTCCGCTGAAGCATTTGTCATGGCTTCTTCATTTTATTTCCTTCTCTGTATTGCTTAGGACTATTTTTTTCCTTGAGCTGAGGGTCTATCAAAAATAACCTCTCTACCTCAAGGTAAGGGTAAGGTCCGTGTACACTCTACCCTCCCCAGAACCAGCTTTGTGGGATTACACTGGGTATGTTGTTGTTGGTCCTCTGAAGTGTGATGTTTATGGTTTCTAAATAGCGCCACATCATTTCCCATATACACTGGTCTTGATTAATATATTCTGTGTGTTTCCACTATTTTTTGGCAGGTTTGGCATGGTAGGATCTTGATTATGGATGATATGATATTTCAAGGCGGCTCTCAGACAATCGCCCTGCACTGTCTTACATGTGAAAATGTATTTTGATTTCTTACACCCAGAGTCCATTGAAGACATGGGGTATTCTCTAAGTAAGTTAGAAGTAGACACCGGACTCTTTGATGGTTCAAGTTCCAATCATGGGGTTGCTAGCAGTGTTCATCATGAAAGACCAACAAATTATTTGGACCATGAAATTTCTCAACTTACTAAGCTTAGATCAGGACCCCATGAAAATCTCAGTAGAATCCTACCAGGGAAAAAGGAAGTTCCTGTATCCGCATTCAAGATGTTAGCTGCTCGAGAAGCCAATATTTCCGGTAGAGGAAGGTTTTCGAAGGCAGATTGTTGTCATGTTCTAAGTAAATATTTGCCAGTTAGTGGTCCTTGGATTGTGGACCAGATGGAAACCAGAGCTTATGTATCACAATTTTCAGCAGATGGTTCCCTTTTTGTTGCTGCCTTTCAGGTACTAGCAGTAGTTTGTATTGTATTTTTGTGGCATTGAGAAAATTAGGCATGACATGTGTCAGTATTACATTTTTGTCTTTTAAGATTTCCATATCTAAGTCAGCTTCAAACAAAAAAAACACACTAGGTGATTTATTCCCATATGTCCTAGCCTTGGTGGACAGAATTACTTGGTCCCTGTTGCTAATGGGAGGTGCCAAGTATCCCGTGGAATTAGTCGAGCGGCGCGAAAGCTGGCGCAAACATCACGGTCATGAAAAAAACTTTTCCATATCGAATCAGAAGCCTGTTATTTTTTATAATATGACATCCCAAAGTTCTCTAAAGACTACACTCTTAACAATGCATTAGACAGATTTGAGTTATGTTGCATTCTGATGCTTCTTCTTGTCTAAAACAGGGAAGTCATATTAGAATATACAATGTGGAAAGAGGGTGGAAAGTTCACAAGAATATTCATGCAAAAAGTTTGAGATGGACAGTTACTGATACATCTCTTTCTCCGGATCAACGTCATTTGGTGAGTTTCTATTTTACAGATATCAAGTTTGCAACTGCTAAATTTTGCTTTCGTTCAGGCTTCAGTTTTTCTCTTTTCATAAGAGCCATAGTACAGATAATAACATGAGCTCATTGCTATGAGCATGCCATGTTACGTATTCAGTCGTGTGTATTCTGTTTCTCCTAATTTGTGACATTTGAAGGGTTTAGTTAAAATATGTTCAAGAATGTCTTTGAAAAGAGGCATGTGGTTCAAATCTCAGCAGAGACGAAAACACTAGGGGATCTCATCCAATCTCTTCAAGCCTTTCCTGATACTTGTCCTGGTGGCAGGTAGTAGTAACCCCATGGAATTAATTGAGTTGCACGAAAGTTGGCCCGTACACCATAGTTATCAAAAAGATTAAAAAAAGAGGCATGTGTTCTATTCAAAACTGCTGCTGATGGTCTAAAATTCTTTCAGATTTCTTTTTCTCTTGAAGATTTTATTATACTGGGGGATTAGGAAAGAGGGATACTGAGAATTGAACAGACACCTATTTTTGGAGACTCCCACTGATATCTCTAGACCATAAGGATTGGTGGTTAAGTTCTTTCAGAGTTTGTACAGCTATTTTTGGTGTCTTCCAGAAAATGTAAAAACAAATTATCTTTGTTGTTGAAGGAGCTTCATCACTGTTGTTATCTCAATCTGTTCTGGTGTTGCTAATTCTGTTAGTCATTTAGAATATAAGGCTATTGGAAATCGAGAGCATTACATGAAATTCATGGAACTCCAAAGTGAAACCAACTTTAAAAAATCTTAAGTTGCACATTAGATCGAAAGGTAGACCGGGACCACTGCAACATTAGGTGATAGCAATGGACATTGACCATGACCAGTAACTTCTGACTAATAGAATCTAAGCTAAGATATTACTTCAACTAAAAGAATCTAAGTTAAGATATTACTTCTAGATTTGCATTACTAGGCGAGATAGGATTAAGAACAAAGATATTGGGCATAAGGTGGGAGAGGGTCTTTGTGTGAGCAAGATGAAGGAAGTGAGACTGAGATGTTTGGGCATGTGAAGACGAGATATCCAGATGCCCAAGTGCGGAGATGTGAGAGGTCGGCTATGGTGGGTTTGAGTAGAGGTAGAGCCTAGAGGTAGGACGGCATAGTATTTGGGAGAGGTGATTAGACAGGATCTGAAACACCTTACTGAGGACATAACCCTAGATAGGAGGATATGGAGGTTGAGGATCAGGGTAGAAGGTTAGTAGGTAGTTGCGCTGTCTAGTTTTTCTTATCAGTGGTAATAGTACTTTTTTTCCTCCTATTTTCTTCTACTTATTATTACCTCTTGTTTCCTTCACTTCGGCTATCATATTATTTGTTGATGCTACTAGTATTCTCTACTGTGTTCTTCTTTCGTTCTTGTTCTATTATGCTTTACTTGAGCCAATGATCTATGTAAAAAGCCTCTCTACCCTCATTAGGTTAGGGTAAGGTTGCGTACACACCACCCTCCTGAGACCCCACTTGTTGGATTTTATTGGGTATGTTGTTGTTGTTGAAAATGATAAATTTACACTTTATCACAGAACATCTTTAAATTTGTGTTGTAGAGTAACTCTTGTGTTGCTTTTGCAGGTCTATGCTACTATGTCACCCATCGTACATATTGTAGATGTAGGATCTGCTGCCTCTGAATCTGTAGCCAACATCACAGTATGACTATCTATCTCTCTTCCTTTGGATTTCTTATCATCATATGCATAACAACTTCATGGGACTGCAATATCTAGCAGTTATCACTTAGAAGTATCATTTCTAAGCCCTTTTAGGCCTAGGAGCAGAAATCCACAGTTCTGTTCGTCTAGTGGATAATTATAACTCCAGCAAGGTAGCAGTAGTTGCACATCCGTGTTGTTAAAGGTTTCAATTATTTAAAGAATGACTCGTTTAATACTTGAGGCGCAGTTTAACCAAGTTTTGTATTTGACTTTGAAATGATACTCATTTTTTTTACATCTCTCTTTATGAACTATTAAAAAAACTGGACTCAACTCTGAAAACAGGAACTAAGTCAAGTATGAAAGAACATCGTCTTCTTTTTCTGGAAATGGATTCCGAACAAGTAACTTATTTCAGAGAGTTTGACTTGTTATAAGATGTTGTTTGTACATTAAAGCTGTTTGATATGAAGTTTTGTGTGGCTAATCTATCTTTTGATTAAAATTAACGCATTGAGTATTTATCCTATGGCATTAGTTTGCAAATGACAGCTCCATAAAGCTGTGGGATTTAGATGAATTCAGACATACCTTACTTAATATCTTAGATCCTGTAAGTTAAGGAGCTTGCTGGAGTTTTGATTGCATTGTTATATGCTACTACCATTAATATTTGGCATAAAGATTAAGTCCAAAAAGGATTATTGGAAATTCGATAGGAGTAACATATGCAACTACCATGATTGCTGTCTGGGTTATATATTAGTCTGTTATAGTGGCAATTTAACACTAATTCACTATTATCTTTTTTTTGATGAAAACTTAATGCTAGCTCACTTAAATGCAGGAAATTCATGATGGTTTGCTTTTGTCTACTGACAATGATGATTTTGGAATTTTCTCTGTGAAATTTTCTACTGAAGGTCGGGAAGTTGTTGCTGGAAGTAGTGATGATGCGATCTATGTTTATGATCTTGAAGCAAACAAACTCTCTCTTCGAATATCCGCACACAATGTATGAATATACTTATTAAAGATGCGTGTCACAAATCTCTTTCTGTTGATGAGCTGAAATAATTTTCTGTTGCAGTCTGATGTCAATTCTGTATGTTTTGCTGACGAAAGTGGCCATCTCATTTATTCTGGAAGTGATGACAATCTGTGTAAGGTGATCATCATCCTATCTTACTTTGGAAGAAATGCTTAAGAATCAAGGTCTCTTTCTGAAAGATGCTAAGCGAAGATACTTGTTGAATTAATGATAAATTGACAAAACAGAGGGGTATTAATGGACTATAAAACTATGGGAAGAGTCATTATCCATACTCCTTTTGATACCATATTTATGTACATTAGAAAATATTTCCACTTACTCTTTTTTTGTCGATGGAAGAGCTAGGTTGGTTGGGGGGGGGGGTTGTGGAATAATCATTGCGGCTCTGAGTGATTTAAGGTCGAGGAACTGATGCTAAATCTTCTCATATTCTGCTGATTGCTATCTTGATTCATTTTGTGTAACACTTGACCTCTGTATGAAGGTTTGGAGGTCCATGATTAGGGTAGAAGAATGGTAGGTAGTCGAGTGTTGTCGTACTTTTATGTAGGAGAGGCAGGGGGCTAGTCTCCTTTTTCATCTTCTCCTAATTTGGTATTCGCAAATTGCATGGTATCTCACTCTTCATTTGTACTGTTACCAGCTGCTTCATTTGCTTTGTTTATCTTGCAATTTTGTTATTGTTATTTTTCTTTCAATCCTGCTTTGATTACACTTACTTTGAACCGAGGGTCTATTGGAAACATATTCTCTACTCCACCAAGGTAGGGATAAGGTTTGTGTACGCCTTACCCTCCCCAGACCCCACTTGTGGGATTACATTGCATATGCTGTTTTTCATAACAAAATGCATAGCTATTCTTGATCCTCCAAGGACCAAATAATTTGAGTCTGGATGAATTGATATATGTACATGTATGCCTCCATGATATTAATTTATTTCATGAGTTCAGATCTTTTTTTAGGAGTAACGAGGTTGTTGCTCTGTGTAGGTCTGGGATAGACGTTGTTTTAGGGCCAAAGAAAAGCCAGCCGGAGTCTTGATGGGACACCTAGAAGGCGTTACGTTCCTTGATAGTCGGGGGGATGGTCGTTATTTCATTTCTAACAGTAAAGATCAGTCCATCAAGCTCTGGGATATCCGCAAAATGTCTTCTCATGCTGCTCGGTATGCTTATTCTCTGGCTATGCATCTCCTCTATGATTCTTCTTCGTGATGGTCTATGTCTATTGTTTTTGGTTTACTTATAAGATTAGGGGGGGTATGAACCTAGTACAATACATGAGATCCAATGAGCTTTATTATTAATACATGAAGCAGATTGAATTCACGAAAACCAGCTAAGTTGCTCGGCCTCTTCGCTTTTGGTGTCGCACCAGTGTCGACATGACATGGGTGTGGGATCCATACTGGATTTGGTCAACTGATTTTGGGTACTTTGACCGAAATCAACTTCTTATCTACTGTTTTTTGTACTTGCGCTGCTTTTTTTTCAAGACTGTTTTTCCTTGAGCTGAGGGTCTATCGGAAACAGCCTCTCTACCTCCCAAGGTAGGGGTAAGGTCTGCATACACAAGGTCCTTCCGAACCCCGCTTGTGGGGATTACATTGGATATGTTGTTGTTTCACTTTCTTACTTATATGACTAAACGAGACACATACACTGTTGTTTTCAGCAATATCTGGTTCAGGAATTATGAGTGGGACTATAGATGGATGGACTACCCTGCTCAAGCTAGAGACGTGAAGCACCCTTATGATCAGTCAATATCCACTTATAAGGGTCATTCTGTCTTGCGTACTCTAATTCGCTGCTACTTCTCACCAGAATATAGGTTAGTGCTAGAAAATATGCTGCATTGACTCTCCGTTTCTTGTCTATGACAACTTTCAATTACCCTTATTTTAGCGTAATACGTGCTTAAATATTTCTTGTGTTATGTTTTACAGCACTGGGCAGAGATACATTTACACAGGATCCCATGATGCCTGCGTATACATCTATGATTTGGTAAGTATGAGGCTATACATTAACTTAGTTATCTCTAAAAAGGAATTTCTTACGAGATCACCCCTTTCATCGACGGAGGGATTGTATAATTCGAGCCATTCTAGAGTAGGATGATTTCCGGCCAATCCTTAAACCTTTTTCTTGTCTAAATGATATCCTAGGATATTTAATGAAACTTGAGTGATTTTGTGGTTAGAAAGAGTAGTTCAATGATTTTCCTGCAATTATACTATAAAGGGTCATTTCCTACGCGGCGTGGGATAGACAAGGATATCCCACCTTCTGTATAGGATAACTAATTCCATCATTTTAGTGTGATAATATAATCCTAGGACTAATTAATACCTATAACTAAACTCGGGAAAGTTATCCTACATTTTATCTCGGGATTATTATCCTTATCCCCCATACCAAATGACAAGGATTCTTCTTATCAATACGTGTTATGTAACGATGCTCTTGGTTTCTAGGTAAGTGGAGAGCAAGTCGCGAAATTGCAGCACCACCGGTCGACCATTAGAGATTGTAGCTGGCACCCTACTTATCCAATGCTTGTTAGCTCTTCTTGGGATGGAGATGTTGTCAAATGGGAATTCCCTGGAAATGGTGAAGCACCACTCCCTCCAAAAAGGAAGCAGATCAGAAGAAGGCATTTCTTTTAAATGCTATCTGCCCTCGGAGATTTCTCGGTTATCAAAGAAAAAACACGGTAAGAACTTCACGATGTTACACCAACATGTATAGTAACTGTTTGAACGCGAATTTTAGCTGAAACACGATCGATATTTTGATTTACATATATTGTACATAAATAAAGGCGAGCATGTACATTGCATTTTGTAAATAGTACTCGGATCGTTTGGGAATCGTGTGATCTGTATGCATGGCTCGTACTGCAGGATAAGCGGAAGAAAATGTAAGGTCGTGCATTAGCACTTCTGTAAGAAAAGGGATGTGCTAAGACGCAACGACTTCTTACATACAAATAAATTCAAGCTCAAATAAAAGTATGAATTCATGTTAGCTTGACTTGATGGTACCTTCTGTTTCGAATTCAGGATTTAAATCTGATGGTCTTAGCCTATACGGTTTTTAGCATTGTATATATCGTGCCTTTTTAGAGAGTATTTGCACTTATGTATGGTTTGAAGTACAAGTATTGTGTTCAGATGAATCCGATTCATTGCCTAAGAGTTGAATTTACAAACTCTTATGTACGACTAAAATACATTTAAAAGGTTAAAAAATATCAATATTTTGAATATATGTACTATGTTTCTTGAAGTTTTTATAAATAATTCTTGTTCTATTTCCTTGACTAATTCATATTCTTATAAATAGAAAAAAGAAATGTTGATACGGTTGAATACTTTATGATTAAAAAAAAATTGAAATATTCTTAAGATTTGTTATTACTGATTAGTCAAATATCCATAGTAGATGTCGACTGATAAAAGAATTGAGGAAGTCAATGGAAAGAGAAGAAAATTGTACATATAATAAACTAAATTTAGATTCCATTTACTAGCATCTAATGTCATGGTAAGTACTCTACGTTTTTAACTAGAGATCTCAAGTTTAACTGTTCGAGTCTTACCTTTGATATTGAACGTTTTACCCCAAAAATTGAATTTCGTTGCTACTAACATCTACTGTTGTTGTCCTAGAATTTAAAACGTGTAAAGTTCAGATCCTAGCTCACCTTTGCGATGATTCGGTGGTAAGTCTTTTTTCATTCTTAATTGTAAGTCCATGATTCGAGATTTGAGAATAGAAACGCCTTTGATAATGTTCGCTTTACCCTCAAAAGTGGGACTTCGTTGTACGAATCAAAGTTATTCGCACACCAAATACCATATGGAAAAGACATTAATTTAAAAGAGTAAGTACCTTTTCATTCTTAAATAAAGATCTCAAGTTTGAACCACGAAAAATGAGTCCCCTTTAATAATAATTGCTACTTTACCCCCAAAAATAAGATTTTACTATGCGAATTTGGATTAGTCAACCCCAAAACGAAAGTCATATGGAAAAGTAATAGTAGGTAAACATCTTCAAATCATGTACAGATCGAGTGGTAAGTTCTCTTTCATCCTTAACTAAATATCTCATATTCCAACCCAAATTATAAATTCCTTTACCCTCAAAATACGAGATTTTACAACGCGAATCTAAATTAGTCAACCCCAGAACATATTCAATACCAAATAGGAAAAAAAAACGAGGACATTAACGTAGAAGAGTAATAGTAGGTGAACAACTTCAAATCAGGTCTAGATCAGGTGGTAAGTTCTCTTTCATCCTTAACTAAACTAAACGTATCAAGTTCAAACCCTGAATACAAATTCAATTAGTTAGAGACCTCTGTTTACTAAGCGTATCAGGTTCGAACCCTGAATACGAATTTAAATTAGTCAGCCCAAAACAATAAAAGTAAAGTGAAAGACATTAATGTAGAAGAGTAATAGTTGGTGAACATATTCAAACCGTGTAGAGAACACCTTCAAAACAATTTAATAGTTTATCAAGTGGCTTTAGAAAATAAATAAATACAGATAGGGACTTATGGGACCAGAAATAAATTCATAGTTTTTGACTTATATTTTTGAAATTTTAGTTTGATTTCAATTTTTATGATGATGAATTGATGGAGGACAAAAAAGCTTATTCCTTAGCTATTTCACTTGTGATATTATTGATCACACTAATCGTTATCGCACGTATAACGTTGAAATATTCCGAGGCATTTTTCCTTATTTTCGGAGCTGATATCGCGTTGATTATTGGTGTTCTTGCTGGTGTTTTGATAAGAAGGAAGTTAAACAACAGGAAGTTATTGTTAGAAAATCAGTTAGACTCTGATGGACGCGAGCTGAGGATCGAGTATAGTTTCTTAAGGAAAGTAGCAGGTGTTCCAACAAGATTTAAGCTTAAAGAGCTCGAAGAAGCAACCGATAACTTTGGATCGTTGATAGGTCGTGGATCATCAGCTTGTGTTTTCAAAGGTGTGCTTAGTGATGGTGCATCAGTAGCTGTTAAAAGGATCGATGGAGAAGAGCGTGGCGATAAGGAATTCAAATCAGAAGTTGCAGCTATTGCTAGTGTTCAACATGTGAATCTTGTACGTTTACTTGGATATTGTAGTGTTCCTCCATCAGGACCTCGATTTTTAGTTTACGAGTATATAGTTAATGGATCACTTGATAATTGGATTTTTCGAAAGAGGGGAATTCGTGGGTGTTTGTCGTTGGATTTGAGGTGTAGAGTTAGTCTAGATGTGGCTAAAGCACTTTCGTATTTGCATCATGATTGTAGATCGTGTATTTTACATCTCGATGTAAAGCCTGAGAATATACTTCTAGACGAGAATCATCGTGCTATTCTAGCTGATTTCGGGTTGTCTAAGTTGATGGGGAAAGATGAGAGTAGAGTTGTTACAACGATTAGAGGTACTCGAGGGTATTTAGCCCCCGAGTGGCTCCTGGAGAACGGGATTTCTGAGAAAAGTGATGTTTATAGCTACGGAATGGTGTTATTGGAGTTGATCGGAGGGAGGAGAAACATCACTTTAGCTGAAAATGGAAAGAGTACTAATTCAAAGAGTAAGTTTAGTTACTTCCCTAAAATTGTGAGTGAGAAATTGGAGCAGGGGAAGATCATGGAAGTCGTGGACGAGAGGCTCGTCCACGAAGCAGCTACAGGAGGTGTAGCTGTTGAAATGCAAGTGAAAAGACTGGCGTGTGTGGCGTTGTCTTGCATCCAAGAACGGCCTAGCCTTAGGCCAACAATGGCACGAGTCGTGGAAATGTTAGAAGGTCGTGTGCTAGTAGAAGCGCCTACACAAACAACAATGATGATCCTTGATCTATTGGACGAGGGTGTTGATCATCATCCCGGGTTACCTAGGGTTGCTGCAGCCATGGCTAGATCTACTGATACTAATTCGCTTCGCTCTTATACAATGTCTATCCTCTCGGGGAGGTAGTATCTATGTCTGTTAAATTTTTCTATATCAATTGGTTTGATTGTTTCTCGATCGATTACTCAAATTCAAATGTAAGAATTTGCTTTGGTTTACACCAAAATATATAGGTCTATATATCTTTTTACTTCTTTTAGTTTTGATTGCTTTTTTTGGGATATCCATGTATACTTTTCCCAATCGATATACATAGATTATTCATGGATTATAAGGCATACATGTTCAAATTAATTAGAGTTGACTTGAGTAACACTCTACCCTCACCCCCACACAGGGTAAGAAAAGTAGAGCGTGGACAAGATAGTATAGGAACTCAATAACGGGTGAAATAATAATTTGGTAGGTCTAATACTATAATATTTTGTTACATATCTACTTTTACTCTTTAATATTGGAGACAGGTTCGAGATTTGAGCTTTATGAATTCAAGAGTTCGGAATTTGAAAAGTAAAAAATGTTAACAAAAATTTCAAAACGGTATATGAAATTTTTTTTTAATCAAATCGGCAAAATCTCTCACGAAGTAGCGATTTTGTCCGCTGAAAAAAGTAAAATCGTTGCAATAGCAGCGATTTGTTAAATTTAATTTTTTCTTTTTTTAAAATAATATTTTTAAATAAAATCGTTGACAAAGGAGCGATTTCCAAAATAAAATTTTCTCTTTTTTAATTTATTTTTAATATGTCGCTGCTGAGGCAGAGACTCAAGTTTAATTATTTTTTTAAAATTATTTTTTGCTTCTTTTTTTATTTTAAAATCAAATCGCTAAATAGATTTTGATTTAAAATCGCTGCCTTGGCAGCGATTTGATTTTAAAAAACAAATAAAAAAATTTAATTAAAAGTCGCTGCGATTTGATTTTAAAATTTTTTTGACTTAAGCTTTTTTAAAAAAAAAAAAAAAAGCAAAAAATAATTTTAAAAAAAATTGAACTTTAGTGGTTGCTGAGGCAGCGACATATTAAAAATATTATAAAAAAATTATTTTGAAAATCGCTCCTTTTTTAAAAATTTTCTTTCTTAAAAAAATCAACTTCAACAACTCAATTTTACTTTTTTCAGCGAACAAAATCGCTACTTAATGAGCGATTTTACCGTTTTGGTTTAAAAAAAATTCATATACCGTTTGAATTTTTTGTTAACATTTTTCACCTTTTAAAGCATTGAACAGATTAAAGTGACATATTAAGGCCTACTATTTGTTGTTACTTTAAGTGAACTACCGTCAAAAGTAATAAATTCAATTAAATCCGTCACTAAATAGTTTTTTCCACCCCTACCCCATAGTGGTATTTATTTTTTTGACTTTTGCAACTAAAATTGTCATTTGGATGTGGCATCCATCATCTTCACTCTGTCAAACATGACCTGCTCAATTTATTGCACAAGCAAAAATATTTACGTCAACTAGTTCAATATACACGTGAAGAAAAATCATTATATATAATCGAACTAATCGTTTTATTTTTATTCAGATTGAATATAAAAGACTAAATCTAACCTATCTTTTATGATTTTTTAGTATAGTTTTGAATTATTATTTTTTTTAAAAAAAATGAATTAACTAGAATGGAATAATAAATAACTATATTTCGTTTTGGTTGTACTAACATGCTTGCAAGTTTATTCTTGTTGACTTGTGGCATTATGCATTTTCTAAAAAGTAATAATGAGTATTTGAATTAACGACATCTCATCAAATATGTAATATTATATTATTAATAGGGTATTATTTCAGTCATCGCTACTACTCATTCTTTTCAGTTATTATTTTTCATCATTTGATTAAATGTGTTAGTTGATTAATATTATATTATTTTATAAAAAAGAATGAATTAATAATAATATTTAAACAATAGTTAAGCAACAAAATGTCGATATGTCCGAGTGGTTAAGGAGACAGACTTGAAATCTGTTGGGCTTCGCCCGCGCAGGTTCGAACCCTGCTGTCGACGACTTTTTTATTTTTTTTCCCTATTTTTTCGACAGTATGTCGACGTTACCCTTATCTTGGAGGTAGAGAAATTGATTCCGATATGTAGCTCAAGCTTAAAATGACATGATTGTATGGTTGACTTCTAGATGC